AATGATCAAAATGTTTTACTCACGATTGTTACTAACAGTAATTATATATATATATATATATATATATACTATATATATATATGTGTGTGTGTGTGTGTGTGTGCTGTGTGTGTGTGTGTGGTGTGTGTGTGTGCTGTGTATATGTGTGTGTGTGTGTGTGTGTGTGTGTGTGAGTTGTGTGTGTGTGTGTGTGTGTGTGTGTTGTGCGCGCGCGCGCGCGCGCGCTGCGTGCGTGCGTGTGCGTGCGTGCGTGCATGTGTGTGTGTGTTCGTGCGTCCGCGTGTGCACACCCGTTCGTGTGTTTATGCGTGTTTGTGTGACTGTAAAAACGCGCATTATAGCCACATATCCACATTTTGTACTTTGGGGTGAAAAAGTTCTAGACGAAATACGGCCATTTGCCTGGACAAAATTCGCCGTGCTAACGAGGTCGTAGGCGATACCATTTGAGAGATGGGATGCCAAAGACTGAGGGAAAGGGAGAGAGAGGGGAAGAGGAAGGAAAGAGGAGAGAAAGGAGAGAGTGAGGTAGAAACGCAGAGGGTGTATCAATACTATAGCTCATATGGTCTATGTCCCCCAGCTAGGGTACTGCCGGAACATACCCTGGGTACGGTCCGGTATACCGGAACGTACCCTGGTCACTATTTGATATGGTTAGGGTTAAATTAGGGTTTAGGGTTACGGTTCGCGGTTAAGGTTAGGGTTAGGGAGTAGGCGTAGGCGACTCCCTAGACTCGTTAGTGGAGTAGGCGAGTACGGTCCGGCTATTAGATAGTACCAGGGTACGTTCCGGCAGTACCCCGGGGGACATAGACCCTCTCAGCAATACGCTCCCATAGTATATACTGTGCTATTAATAATTATATTGTACAATAATTTCACCACTGAGCCTTTCTACTAAAGCTGTGAGTTGCGGAGAAATATTTCAAATTTGAGGTATTTTCTGCTGCGATCCGCAAGTGTTTGATCTGTCTATTTTGATCACCTTGTCCTTTAACGACTAATATTTAGAAGTTATACGAGTTTACTTAGTAGCGATAGCGATTAATAAAATTTGTGGTTTGTGAAAATTGTTAAAGAGCTAATATACATATTATAGTTTATGTATTATGCTAATGTGTTATTATCTCTTTGATGCAATGTAGAGTCTAGCACACGCTTATCGTACGCGTGTGTGTACGCGTGCCCTGCGCATGTTGTCACAAAACGTTCCTGATTCTCTCGTTGGGCGAAACTTTTTATTTTTCGCAATACTGACAGTTTGGTGATGCCAGTGTAACACGCAGAGCGATTTTGACAAAATATCTGCAAAATGAATGTCGGAACCGTTTAGACACGACTACTTCACGTTTCTCTTGCCCCCTTCTCTGGTATTTATTCTCGGACGGGTGAGAGCTAGAGAGCATGGGCATGACGACAGGTGGAGCCAGCAGTATACAAACCAGTAGCAGTAGGCAGAATGCAATACACACAATAGTACAGTAGATTAGAAAAAAATCTTTCAAAATGTGAAAAAAGTGTGAAAATTGGTACACTTGCATACTTTTGTATGCTCTTTCATTTAAAGACAGGGACACACGCGCATCAATTACAACTTCGGCCGCCATTCTTGAATTCAAAAAGGGCCGCCGTCATTTCTTAAAAATAGCTATATCTCGGTTAATAATCTTCGTACAGACTCGAAAATTGACTGACAGACCGTAATTTGGGTTACTATTTCATACAACAACGTGATGCATATGATCCAATACGGCGTTTTCGGCCACCATCTTGGATTCAAAATGGCTGGCATAAAAATTACAAACTTTAGCAATATTTCGTTCACGGAAGATATAGAAGACGTGAAAATTTGCAGACGGGCGCAGGATAATACCCAGCCGGCCAAGTCGACACGTGCCGCTATCCAACACGCTGTTGGAAACGATGGAAAAACACGCATTTTATCGTGGAGCTTCTAAACACGCATTTTCAACGTACCGTTCTTCAAGTAAATGCGACGTAGTACACAAGCAGTTCAAAACTCACTGCGCGCGAGCACCCACGCACACAATAACGATAGCTATACGCCCGCGAAACGCACGCACGCACATAACAGATAGCTATATTACGCGCACGAGCACGCACGCACATAACAGGTACCTATACGCCCGCGAGAACGCACGCACATAACAAGTACCTATACGCCGCAGAGACGCGCGCACATTAACAGGTACCTACCTATACGCCCGCGAGAACGCACGAGCCATAACAGATAGCGATAGCGCCGCGAGCACGCACGCCACATAACAGAAAGCTATATACGCGCCGCGGAGCACGCACGCACATAACAGATACCTATACGCCCGCGAGAACGCCACGCACGCACATTAACAGAAGCTATATACGCGCGCGCGAGCCACGCACATAACAGAAGCTATATACGCGCGCGAGCACGCACATAACAGAAGCTATATACGCGCGCGAGCACGCATGCACATAACAGTACCTATACGCCCGCGAGAACGCACGCACATAACAGAAGCTATATACGCGCGCAGGCCCGTAGCCAGGGGGGGTTCGGGGGGTTCGAACGAACCCCCCCCCCGAGCCCGTCCCCCCCCACCCCCCAAGCAAAAAAATAATAATTTTGAAAATTTTGCAAGAATTTCACCTCAGGTCGCTCCATTTTAGTGTAATAATTGCAAATCTCATCGTGCGGGAGGTGACAGTGAACACCCCCTCCCACACCCTCCCCCGCTCGTCGCTTGGCTCTCTCGCCTGGTCGCTTCGCGCCGAGCAGGGCGTGTACAGGGGGGGTCCAGGGAGTCCGGACCCCCCTTGCTCGTGCAGAAAACGCATCTAAGGGGGGTCTAATTTTAAAAAAATTCTGGGGGAGTGCCCCAGACCCCCCCTTCGCGTGCTCGCCACCTTTGGGTTACGGTTACACCCCCCCTGGTACAAATCCTGTACACGCCCCTGCGAGCAAATTGCCAACATTGAAAAACGAACCCCCCCCAATAGAAAGCTGGCTACGGGCCTGCCGCGCGCGAGAACGTACGCACATAACAGGTATCTATACGCCCGCGAGAACGCACGCACAAACAGAAGCTATATACGGCGCGCAAGCCACAACACGCCACATACAGGTACTATACGCCGCGAGACGACACGCACACGTACATAACAGTTACCTATACGCCGCGAGAACGCACGCACGCCACATAACAGATAGCTATATACGCGCGCAAGCACGCCACGCACATAACAGATAGCTATATACGCGCGCGAGCACACGCACATAACAGATAACCTATACGCCGCGAGAACGCACGCCACATAACAGATACTATTATGTACAGTGTAACATACAAGTACTATATTTGTGTTTGTGCAGGTACATGTTACCGCACTGAGTGACAATCTGCGACAACTTGTGGACAATGCAGTCTCGAGACATTTGTTTAACTTGAACAATAGTATTATTTAGCTTGCCATGCATGTTCTTGTGTACTGTATACTACAACTTGTTGTCTTGAATTATCTCTCTCTCACACTGGGGATTGAGTTTGGCATTGTGTTTGTTATATACTGAGAAAAACCGGTAATTCACATTTCACCATGTTTGTTTGTAATCTGTTATACTATGTCATTGATCACTTTGAAGTACAGAGTAAAATGTGATGGCGGCCATGTTGAATTCAATAGGGCCGCTGTAATTATAATTGGAACTTGTGTGTCTTGTTTTAATATCAGAGCTTATTAACCTGCGCCAGTCTGCAAAATGGAGGGAATGGAGGGGACCCGTGAGGGGGGCCTACTGCGGGCGCGGTGCTTGACTTGAAGGATCCCGAGGGCTTATTGCGGGATTAGCTTTGTAAAGGGGGGACTATTTGCTCCCGCGCGGGCCCGCTTTAGAAGTTGAAAAACACCCCCCTAACTCGCAAAATTTGGAACGCACATGGGGTAATACCGGCATATATAGTGACACCCCCCCCCCCGGACTAGCCTATAATGCACACGCTTATGTTTGTGCCGTCTCCATGTTCTAATTTCGTTTTTGTAGAATGAAAGAATGTTGCTGGAAGTAACCTGCACAACTACGTGTTTATTATCAATAGCAGCATAAATTGATGATAATTTTCACGTTGATGTAAATATATTTGCTCATCTAGGTAATATTATATTTTACTACAGATTAACATTTTTGGGTTTATCTTAAATTTCATTGTTAGATAGTCAGACTGATCCCTCATGGCTATAACCACAGGACGTCTGTCTGTTATTACCTCTGCCAGGGGCTTGGCGGGGGTTATGTTTTCACCGGCGTGTGTTTGAGTGTTGGTTTGTGTGTTTGTGGGTTTGTTAACATGCACGTTTCAGTTCACTTCCGCTAGGTGCGCTGGCTGTAGACTTACAAACACGCAACCACAGGCTAAGCGGCAACCACAGTCCTCCCCCACCTGCACGCTCACACTAATCCGGATCCAATTAATTATTTAATTAATTAATTAATTAATTTTCCACTTAATTAATTAATTAATTAATTAAAAATTTCACATTGAGAGAATTCAGCTGCCTTGGCGGAGGTCTGTGCTCTCCGAGTGCACTAGTTTCACATGATTTTCCATCCTTAATGAATTTTTGCAGGTTATAACGCTTTCAGATTTAGAGTGCGATTATCTAAATGCGAAGGACTGTTGCAGCAAGCTGAACTGGGTAAGATAAGATCAGGAGTAGATAATAGGGAAGGAGTGTGACTTCAATAAACAATGGAAATTCGTCATTTACTAGCCTTATAATACCTATGATTTACTACGCGTAACTGATCCAACTTGAGCTCAAATCGTACACAGTACATTCGACTAGCATCGTGCGAAATCGTTTCCTCGTATACACCCACAATCCGGAGATACAGACTAAAATGTACGACACGATTTTCCATTCTGTTGCCAGCAAACCCGATGCGTTCAGAGCCTAATTTGAAACAAAAGGCAGCTATACTAACGCTCGGCGATACGGTGTGGCTCGCTGGGAGATTGCTGCTGACTGCGGTGGGCGTGCGTGCGTGGGGGGCATACCAGCTGTATGCCGGTATGTAGCTGTGTGCCGGGTCAAAGGTTATCTCGCCGAGTGTTGCGTCAATGTCCAATCTCCCAGCGAGTCACACCGCATCGCCGAGCGTTAGTAGCTGCCTTTTGTTTCAAATTAGGCTCTGAACGCATCGAGTTTGCTGGCAACAGAATGGAAAATCGTGTCGTACGTTTTAGTCTGTATCTCCGGATTGCAGGTGTATACGAGGAAACGATTTCGCACGATGCTAGGCGAATGTACTGTGTACGATTTGAGCTCAAGTTGAATGAGTTACGCGTAGTAAATCATAGGTATTATAAGGCTAGTAAATGACGAATTTCCCTTGTTTATTGAAGTCACACTCCTTCCCTATTATCTACTCCTGATAAGATTAATGGGTCATTTGGCATTTGGATGTTTAATTGGGATCATGTGGATTTATTAGTTATAGACATTTGTTTTTGTAGATCAATGATCCAAACTGTGAATTATTAATTTTGCTGGCTTCATAGACTAGCCATATCAAGACGCGACACTTCACAGGTTGTTATGTTACCGTGTGTAGTGGCACCATTACACACACAGTACATTCATGGTTGCTGGTGAAATTTTGTCAAAATTTCAATACCCATTTTATTTGATAGATGGCGCCTCTGGCCACAGCTATGTATGTGGTCTCCACTCATCTATATATTTCAGTGGATGGGACCAGAGCTGGTAGCACATGGACTGCTCACCATCATCCTGCTACCTACATGGCATCCAATACTATTTCTGATTAATCTCCCAGTATTGGCATGTCATTGCTACAGGTGAGGGTGTATGTGACTAGAAAGAAGAAGCTGTATGAAACATCAGTGTTTCCCCTGCATTGACACGAGCGAGGCGGGCCTCGCTCAAATTCTAAGCCGGCTCACAGAAATTTGTCCAAAACCCCGCCTCGCTGACGAAAATAGCTTAGAATGCACAAAATTGCACCATTTTTTCAAAAGATTTCTGGGGGGATTTTCTAAAAAATTCTGAACAAATATATACTTTGCTTTGCTAGGACCTCGAAACGTGCAGTCACCAAAATTTACCACCTCACAGACCTTTTTGGCCAGGGGAAACACTGAATCATGATATTACTGAGCGAAATTACCATGATGCTATTGTGTAACATTAGTAGTGTGATATTTTATCATAACACTATCCCACACTTATTTCCTGAATGTCATGTACTTAGCTGATTAAACTTCTCTGCAGGTTTTGGTTCATACCAAGAGGACACCTAGGTCAATATGATCCTGCCGAGATTCATAACCATGGCGACCTGTCTCGGCACATGAAAGAAAGCATGGCCAAGCTCTCATTCCACCTAATCATCTTCTTTATATACTTATACTGGTAGGAATCCTCATAATTCTTATTCACCACATTTATCTTGCATGCTGGTTTTCATTGTCTCTATACCTGTTCTTCTGATACAGAGATAGCTCAGATTTTACATCCTTATTTTAGTGCTTTTACTCTCGAGTGCCAGATGAAATAATTCCTTATAAATAGATTTTGTGAATGGCAGATGTTGTTTGAATCTTGTTGTGGCTCAACTTTTGGGAACGTGGCGTGCAGTACAGATAACACTAAAATAATGGATAGATCTACGAATTACACTGAAGAAATTAACCATTTGCCAGCATATTTATCTTGATATTTTCTATCCACATCAACTCATATTTGTTCACAATGCTATTTGAATAGTAAGTACCTGTCTTGTTAAGTGAATAATATTTACTGATTAACCTCTGAACAACTAGATACATAAGTGATGATGATTTCTACATTTTCAGCATGATACTAACATTGCTGAAGAAGGGCTCTTGAGGAACAGCCTATATCTACATAATCATAGAGCGCAAGTCCTTGATGATTGCATAAAAGGCATATAAATGGTTTGCTACTACTATTGTGCTGTATCTGCTTGCTAGCATTCTTTGTTGTTGTTATTGTTGACAGTGATGATGATGATGATGGTGGTGGTGGTAGAGCTGATGATGATGATGATGATGATGATGATGATGATGATGATGAGTGATTTGATGATGATGATGATGATAATGGATATGATGATGATGATGATGATGATGATGAGGATGATGATGATGATGATGATGATATTCGTTGACTTAGATGTTGATCATGTATACTACTGCCATGAAGGTGAAGTATTTTGTAAACTCATTCTCCATTGAATCTCTCAAATTGTTATTATTGTGAGTTGTGTTATTAGCATGCATAGGGTAGATGTTTTGTTAACCAATACAGGCTGAGAATATGGTGAGGACTCTCACTCCGTCATATACCAAGGAGATTTGCATGAAAACTATATAAATGTACGAGTACCGGTTCATTGTGTCGTTGTTGCTAACGTACCTACTTATATGTACTACGGCTTTCAAGCTTTATATATACAGCTGTGTTTTTCACACTCATGGTAGTAGTTGCAAATGACAGTGTTAGCAAAAATAGCAACTAATATATAAACAGTTTCAGCGCTTTTTTAAAACTCTGGTACTCACACAACAGTTCATAAGAAGATAACAATAGCTTCAAGTAGATAGGACAGCATCCATTTTGTGAATCAGTCTTTATTCAATGAGGTACTTGATACAGATTACAAATGATGGGACTCAATCTGAAACAATGGACAAGAGAGTACACTGTGCGTGTATATATTGTCTATTCCCCAAGTCTTTGGATGTTCGTATTTAGAGAGAATTGGCTGCAATGACTGACTGATTAAAAGTAACACATGAAACGAAGCATAAATCTTCAGAGTGATGTCTTTACATACTTATGTGAATAACTCAATGATTGGATTAGGACGACTTGTCCTACGAAATTAACGTTAAGAATTAACAAGTAAAGTTTATGATGCACAAGTTATAATAAGTTAATGATGTCACAAATACAACACTAATTTTGTACATTCATAATCGCCCGATGTTCTGCCAGGCAGGTTGTTGCCTGACGCGTGTCGCGGTTCTGGTCGCGCTGACGGATCGTCCGCAGCGTCACTGTGTCCGGCTGTGGACTGGGCTTCCGTGGGTAGATGCCGAGGAGACAGTTGCTGGTTGCGATGTGGACCCCCAGGCGATTGTCGAGGTCTAGCGGGTGTAATGATTGTCTCATCGGAAATCGGTCGAAGCTTGCTGATGGGCATCGGGACCGTGCCTGGTCATTTGGATGGGTGACGCATGACGTGACGCCTGCCGGACGTGGTGTCGCCGACGTAGCTAGCGGGTTCCGGGGGGGTACCGATGGTGGTGGTGATGACTCTGAGGCTGCCACCTGCTCCATGTTCACTGGCTCATGGAGGTTCCCATGGCTTTGACCTGGCCATCTAGATGCATACTTGCTGATGTCATCAATGATACTGGTACGTGGCAGGTGCGGGTGTACCGGTGTATACATCCGCAGGAACTTCCTATTGCGACTGTAACTCGTCCTTGACCCGTCGACACGGACCACGTACTGTGGCATGTTGGCGGACCTCTATCACCTGGCAGTTTTATCCCATCTCAGTGGGCTAGGGCCAGTTTGGTTCTGGCTCTGGACGTGGTTGCAACTACAAGGGTGGGAGTCGCTTTGGTGTGTCCATCCAACGTTCAGCAGCCCTCATATGTCGGTTCTCAATGCTTCCTCCCTTGCCCGCCAATGTCTCTTTCCATTGGCTATGTGGGCAGGTAACGACCCGGGAGGACAGGATGAAGTCCTTGATAGCTCGCCAAAAACGCACATCGCAGGGAGGTTTGGTCGTCTTTTCAGGGCAATTTCGGTACTGCAGCATTGCACGTGGAAGTTGTCTGTGTCAAGTTCACCGTATGTGCTGTGTTGTCAGTTATAGAAGTCGGTTTGACAGTTTTCACTCCGACTTCCTGCCACGACAGTTGCGCTGTGGGGGAAGGCAACAGACGATAAGCGGTGATGAACACCCCAGTTCTCATGAACGCGGGTGGCGCAGCAGTAAATTCAGGGCACCGTCAGATGCGAGTTCGTCGCGTATGCCATAGGTGACGAATGCTCTGCGGAGGCTGTCAACTAGCCCAGTGGAACCACATTGAGGCCTTTCAACGAATAGGCCAGTTGGAGTATCTGCCACGATTGCCAGGTAGTTGGTGCCTTTGTAGTGGAAATAATCACGCACATACACATTGAATGGGTATACCGGCGGTGTTGTGGGTGTCGGCGGTGCGCTAGGGGGTGTGAAGGTGCCATTCGCGTTGCAATGGGGCAGCTACTTCTGACGGCAGCGATGGCGGAGTAATTCCAGGCCAGAACACGGATATTTCTGCTCTTGCAATCATCGATGACGTGCTCTGCGTGTGCGGCATGAAGGGCCGTCAAAACAGGTCATGTCTGAGTGACGGTGCGGATCACGACTCTGTCCTTGTAGATTTATGACGCCATCTACTGTGTAAACGATGATCCCGGAACTCGATATATTCCTGCAGTGCGTGAGGCAACTGCATGGCGCGAAGCTCTTGCAATGCTGTTTCGATCAAGTCGACCAGCTTGTTGCGTATTAACTGTCACTACATGTGGCTGCTGCGGACCTTGTCCCACGTGATAGTTTGTAGGCGAGATCAGTGATGAAGTCGCGGCAAGGTGGACGATGTCTTCCATCTTGTCCTGGGGTCGTCTCTGCAGCGAATACCGAGATGAAGTTGTGTATACATCCCGCTGTGTGTACAGATCTGTTGGGGTGGTGCTGCTCTGTGGAACGTGCCTGATGGCGGCGATGTATCTTCGAGTTGCATTTTGGCGGGTCACCAGTCGGGTGGGCGGAGACAGTGTCTGCGGCTCGATTGCTTCACCGCCAGGTACAGGGTCATCGAAAATCTATATCTGAGCGTCTTTTCTTCAGGTTCTGAGACGCGTGCGGTTGATATGTCATCGAGTTGATCTGTCGCCAAATCAACTGAGAAGTGGCCTTGTGGTCCACCGCCAATTATGAGATCCTTGCCATCCAAGCACGAAGTACCGAGCCTTGTCCAGATGCGTCGGCAAGGGCAAGGGCTTCGCCTTCTACTGGAGCATAGCGTGATTCAGGCGGGGTGGGTGAAGCGACTGCCTACAGGTGTATTCTCCATGCAGTAGGACAACAAAACAATTCTGTCTTACGCAGGATGGCAGTGCTTCTGGAAAAAAAACCAGATCCGATTCCGACTTTAGACCAGTCTGTGGCAAGGCAGGTTGGCTTGATTTGTCGAAGATTCGTACGCCCTCTTCTATCTCGCCTCACTATTGCCAGCTTGGATTCTTCAAGTAATTCTGTCAGGTGGAGATGCCCAGTGGAAAGCTTTTTCCAGGCTTGAGGAACTCGCGGAATGGAAGCATCGTTCTGTCATGCTGAAGGCGTATGACACTCGTGGTTGACGAGTCCGAACCAAGAGCGGATGTCGGTGATGTTCCTTGGTTTGGAAAGTCCATGATCGCTTGCAGGAATTGCTTGCAAGGCCTCACGCTGTCTGGTGTAATCTCGGAACCCGGCAAATGTAACGGTGGCCTGGCCCGAATACAAATTTCTCAGGGTGAGGGTTATCCCGTTCCGGGCCGCAGATATCTAACCAGTTTACATGCCTGTAGCAAGAAACTTTCCTCCAGTTGTCGGCCCAGAGTAGTGGTGTCGTCGATACATTTTGGTTTTGTTGGGACATCCGAGACAATCTCGTCAAATCTTCGCGGAGTAGCGTCGCCTGCATGCAATGTAGCCCTGTGGGGCTGTGGGTAACGGTATCTTTCCCAAGGTGTGATGAAGTGGTAAGGGTGCTTATCTTCTTCCCGGAGTGGTACACTGTGCGTAGCCGTTCCACGCGGTCGAAAACAGTTTTTACCGTCCCAGAGTGGACGGCGCGCTTGCGTGGAATGGAGACTGGGTGTGGTTGGTTCACGTGTTGCATGCGTGTTAAGTGGTTGCATGTCAACTGTCCGTCTCGGCTTGCCGTTTTTCTTCGCCACAAACGACCATGCGGTTGGCACACATGTCACCCGGTTCACTACTGGTACTGGTTCCAGTACGCCAAGCCGTACGTCTCTGTCTAATCCAGCTTTAACATCGTCTCGCCAATGGATGGGTACAGCCGGAGGAGAATGTACTGCTACGGGTTCGGCATCTGGTCCACCATTAGATGTAAGCGGGGGGGCCCTTCCATCATCAGGCAGTGGTTGGTTCGCACGTGTTGAATGTGCTCGATTTGTAAGCGATCAAGGAGGTATTGTCTCAGCTCCTCTCGATTGTCTTCAGGTCGTGGAAATGGTAGACTCGACGGTGGTGGGGCGGCAGCTGGCGTCGAGGACATTCACACTCGGTCGCGGAGGCCCGCCTGTCATTTCGTTCTACGAGTTAGGTGGTCATCGACTACCAGAATGTGCCGCCTGATCATTGCGGTTTCACCTACGGTTGGGAATGTGTCTCTGATCATGCCTAGGCGAATGCAAGCTTCTCTGCTGATAAAGAGTTTGTCTGAGTTATCAGTGATGATGTACGTAACTATGGCAGTGCTCTCAAGCGTATTGCCAGATGTTGTCCTTGCCAGAAAAAACGTAGGATTGCTGCACCCAGATGTTGATGCCTTTGTCGTTGGCTGCATTCATCCGCAAATGTCACTGGGATGAGGTCGGCCTTACCTAGACCGAGCGCATGACGACTTGAGACTCGCCAGGCAACTTTGGCAACCAGTGTCAGCCATTGAAGGGATGACGACTGACCTGGGTGTGGATGTGAGCGTAAGACCAAGACGTTTGTAGTCTTCAGGGTGTGCACCCACTGTGAGGTTAACAAACGGCTGAGGTTTGGACTTGCGCTTTATCCAAGCGTCTGATAGTTGGTTGTAAAGGTGGTGGTCGAGAGTTATATTTCCACCGTTGCGTCGAGCAGGAGTAGTGATTGAGCACAAGTGGTCGAACACCGCTCTTCGTGTTCATCAAATGACTTTGCCATCGTCTTGTACTTAGCCTTGTTCCCGCCTCTGCACATATCTGTCAAAGTGGTGGTTTTTGTCACAGCGTTGGCATGTGTGGCATACGCAGGGCATTCCTTCTGTTCTAACCTTGGCGAGGTTACGGACTCCGTGGCCTTTCTTACCGCAGTAATGAGCACAATTCTGACTTGTCAATATTCGTATTCGTCATACCTACTGCGAGCATTTTTAGAGAATCGTTTATGCCACGTTTGTAGAGCTGCTGACTGCTTCGGCACCATTTAGTGTGTGGTCGATTAGACGCGAGGCGGAGCGTTTGCCCGATTCTTTCGCCTCAACGAATTGAAAACACCTCTTCAAGGGTCATTTTCCTGGCTTCTTGTCCCGTAGTAGGTCAAGTTGTATTTCGGTGTCCTCCAGGCTCGTGTCAACACATCACGGAGTACAGCCTCTGTGTAGTTTCACGTCGTCTGAACAACCAGGACACGTCATGATGAACTTGCATACCCCAGCTTGACCACGGAGGCGAGCGCGAATGAACGGATTTGGTTTGTCGCGGTCTGGCGCATGTTATGCAGGGTACACCGTGCAACCATGGTGTTTTTCTTCCCTTACAGCAAGTGTTTAATGTCTTTCAATACGTCGCTTTCAGATTTGTTTGCCAACGTGCACCGGCATTGCGTGTGAGGTCTTTCTCTTAAGTGTTCATCACAACACTCCAGTAATTGGATCACCTTGTCCTTGCAGACACTTTAGTGCGCTTCGGGCGTAGTCATTCCATCGCGATATGAAGTAGGACCAGTCTTCGCTCGGTGCCGGGCAGAGATATAGTTGGTCGTTATCACCCTTTCCACCTTCGCAGTGGGGACACTGTGGGGTGGTCGCGTTATGGACGGTGGCGTGGGTCGTTATGAGAGCTGCCGCCACGATCGCGTCGACGTCCGGGCGTGGCGTAATCGCACTCGTCGATGGGCAGGCAATTAACCGGCAGTCGTGTTGTGAGTGCAGGGAAGTTGTCAAGCGATAGAGCGGCTTCACCAGTCAATGAGTCCCATCATAGATAGGCAACGCATCCATTTTGTGAATCAGTCTTTATTTCAATGATGGTACTTGATACAGATTACAAATGATGGGACTCAAATCTTGAAACAATGGACAGAGAGTTACACTGTGGTGTATTATTGTCTATGAATTTCTAATGAACAATTTATATCTCATTAATTCAAGTGTTAAAATGATTTTTTAACATGTGATACTTAATTAGAATAAGTTAGAAATTATCTTTCGATGTCTGAAATTGCTAAATAAGTGGCCAAAACGTCCGTACTTGAATCCTAATAGTTCCTTTGAATTGGTTTTACTTGTGCATTTCACTCATGGGTGAGTCTAAAAAACTTAGACTGTATTCTACAATCTTATTACTAATTAATAATTAAATATTAATTCAGCGATAATAGTGGCATAGCTTCTCGTATACTATAGGTAACTTATTTATTGTAGTCAGAATTATTTATTAATGCAAACCTATGTCCAGCTTCTGTCCATGCATGTTCGTGGCTGTCAGTAATGACAACACCGGCATCAAAAGGCTCAGCTACATGTTTACATTTTAGATTCTAACGATCTTAAGTGAAAGAATCCATCCTCGGTTTTTCGAGTGGTATTTCAAAGTTCAGGTCAGTGAATCGGCACCCAAAAATCTCTCGACAAACGGCCATCGTATTTTCTTTATTCGCTCGGTGAGAAGTAGCGACGAAATGCAGGAGCTTGTGTTGCCTGCCAGAGTATAGCGCACTCTTGGTGAGTTGCGGTGATTGAAGTGCATAATCCGGTCCATAGTGTGAAGTGGCTAGTTGACACTGATGTCTATGCTGTTGTATAAGACTTCAAATGCTAAATATGCTGATTCGTATTTATATTCAGTGTATAGGGTCTATTTGATTCAAAAATAGCCTCGTTCTAAAAGTTGAAACAAACAATGCGTCGATTGGTCTGACAGCGGCAATCTCGAAAAATATAGCTAGCAATGTGAGTGAACTATGGGTTGGGCTAGCGATATGTATATTATTATTATAGTATCATGTTTTAATATATGTGGATATAGTTATTAAAGAAGAACTCGTTTCCTTAATGACAGTTTTATTCCACTAGTAAGCGCACCATGAAAAATGAAGCGACACGCTTGAACAATGAAAGGGGAACGAATGTCAATAC